TTTCCTATATGAAAGCTCGGCGTATGGTAGAGAAAGGGTGTTTAGCCTATTTGGCTTATATTCGCGATCCCAGTGCGGATGTCCCTTCTATGGACTCAGTACCAGTTGTTCATGAATTTTCAGAAGTATTTCCTGCAAATCTGCTGGGGATGCCACCCGACTGAGATATTGACTTCTCTATTGATTTGGCTCCGGGCACTCAACCCATTTCTATTCCACCATACCGTATGGCCCCGTCAGAGTTGAAAGAATTGAAAGAGCAATTACAATACTTGCTTGATCAGGGATTCACTAAACCCAGTGTCTCGCCCTGGGGTGCACCAGTATTCTTTGTAAAGAAGAAAGATGGCTCGATGCGGATGTGTATAGACTATCGGCAGTTGCACAAGGCCACTATCAAAAACAAATATCCGCTGCCAAGAATTGATGACTTATTTGATCAGCTTCAGGGTGCCAAGTTATTTTCGAAGATTTATTTGAGATCTGGATACCATCAGTTGAAGATTAGGGCATCTGATATCCCTAAGACAGCTTTTCGAACTCGGTATGGGCATTACAAGTTCCTAGTGATGTCATTTGGGTTGACAAATGCTCCAGCAACATTTATGGATTTGATGAATCGGATGTTCAAGACTTATTTGGATTCTTTTGTGGTTGTATTCATTGATGATATCTTGATTTACTCCAGTAGTCGAGAGGAACATGAGCAGTATCTTCGAAGTGTGCTTCACACCTTGAAGAATAATTAGTTATATGCCAAGTTTTCAAAATGTGAGTTTTGGTTAGACTCAGTTGCCTTTTGGGGGCATGTTGTATCGGCAGAAGGCATAAAGGTGGATCCTAAGAAGATTGAGGCTGTTCAGAATTGGCCTAGACCTACTTCAGTTATAGAGATCCGTAGTTTCCTGGGTTTGGCAGGTTATTATCGTCGGTTCGTGGAAGGGTTTTCATCTATAGCAAGCACATTGACCAGACTAACCCAGAAGGGTGTCCCATTCAGATGGTCAAATGAGTGTGAGTTGAGCTTTCAGAAGCTCAAGACCGCTTTGACTACGGCGCCAGTGTTGGTATTACCCACAGGTTCAGGATCGTATACGGTATATTGTGATGCATCTCACATTGGGCTTGGTGCAGTATTAATGCAAGATGGCAAGGTAATAGCATATGCGTCGCGGCAGTTGAAAGTTTACGAGATGAATTATCATGTTCATGACTTAGAATTGGCAGCAATTGTTCATGCACTGAAGATTTGGAGGCATTACCTCTACGGTGTCTCGTGTGAGGTATTTACTGATCATCGTAGCCTCCAGTATCTGTTCAAATAAAAAGGATCATAATTTGAGGCAGAGAAGATGGATGGATTTGTTGAAAGACTATGATATCGCCATTTTGTATCACCCCGGAAAGGCCAATGTGGTGGCTGATGCCTTAAGTAGAAAGACTGTGAGTATGGGCAGTCTTGCGTATATTCCGGTTGGTGAGAGGCCATTAGCTACAGATGTTCAGACTTTGGCTAATCAGTTCGTGAGGTTAGATGTTTCAGAACCCAGTCGGGTTCTAGCTTGCACAGTCGCTCGGTCTTCTTTATATGAGCGCATCAGAGAGAGGCAGTATGATGATCCTCATTTACTTGTCCTTAAGGACACGGTGTGGCACGTTGATACCAAACAGGTTACTGCAGGGGAAGATGGAGTTCTGTGAATACAGGGCCGTATTTATGTGCCTAATGTGGATGGGTTTCGTGAATTAATTCTTGAAGAGGCACACAGTTCCAGGTATTCTATTCATCAAGGTACCGCTAAAATGTATCAAGATTTGCGGCAACATTATTGGTGGAGGAGAATGAAAAAGGATATAGTTGCATATGTAGCACAGTGTCTGAATTCTGGTCGATTTTATTCTATTATCGATACCGATCCTTCAGACTTTACTAAGCTTGCTCGTGACTCGTAAGACCTATGTAACCTAGTGCTCTGATACCAACTGTCACGACCCAAAATTCCCTCCTTCGGACCGTGATGGCGCCTAACATTTCACTTGCTAGGCAAGCCAACGTTAGAATAATATTAACAAATTTTAAACCATTTTTAAATTATTAATAATCAAGGAAACAAAAGCAGAAGCAAAGTTTATAGCGTAGTGAAATAATCCATAAAAATAACTGTGTCTAAATATCATCCCAGAATTGGTGTCACAAGTGCACGAGCTTCTAGAATAATTACAAATAAGGGTGTGAATAAAATAAAGTTGTCTGAAAATAAACACACAACTAAAGAAAAATAGACGGGGACTTCAGAACTGCGGACGCCATGCAGTTATACCTCAAGTCTCCTCTGAATAGCTGAAATCCGAGCAAATCTATGGCACGCCGCTGGGACCAACTCTGAAATTTGCACAAGAAGTACAGAGTGTAGTTTCAGTACAACCGACCCCATGTACAGGTAAGTACTGAGCCTAACCTCGACGAAGTAGTGACGTGGCTAAGGCGGGTCACTTACATTACCTGTACGCAATATTAGTAACAACAACAATAATAGAAATANCGCAACTCCAACATATTCATTTGTAAATTCTTATAGAAGAAATTTTCCTCATAATTGGAACAATTAATATAAAACTATAAGACAACAAGCATACAGTAATTATGATTTAATTATGAAACAAACAATGACAAATAGCAAATTATTATGGAAATCAGGAAGAAAATAGGCAGTTTAATATTTAATATGCTAAATGTCAAATAACAATTAAGACACATAATTCAAATAGCATGAAACAATTAATGCAAGAATTCAAGGATTAATGTTTGACAAAGAATAGGGGAGAAACAATTATTATAATAATTAATTCATGATTTAAAATAATTTATGATTTTTCAAGTAAGTAGGCAAACAATCAATTTGATGATGTATAGACACTCGTTACCTCGCCTATACGTCGTTCACATGCATTTCACATAACAAATAATTTAAGGGTTCTATTCCCTTAAGTCAAGGTTAACCCCGACACTTACCTCGCTTTGCAAATTCCAATCAATTATTCAATCACAACTTTTCCTTTTAAATTTGCCTCTGAAAGTTTCAAATCTATTCACAAACAATTTAATATATTCAATACTAATCATAGGAATTAATTCCATATGAATTTACACATTTTCCAGATAAAAATTTGAAATTCATTAAAATATTTGACAGTGGGACCCACATCTCAAATCTCGAAAAACTCACTAAATTTGAACACCCGTTCCGATACAAGTTCAACCATACAAAATTTGTCCAATTCCGATATCAAATGAACCTTCAAATCTTACTTTTTCGTTTTTGGAAGATTTTAGAAAAATCTGATTTTTCTTCCATAAATTCACGGATTCATGATATAAACGAGTATGGAATCATGAAATATAATCAATATAGGATAATGAACACTTACCCCAATATTTTTCCCGTAAAAATTGCCCAAAACTCGCCTTACCCGAGCTCAAAAATGGGAAGGAGTTGTAAATGGATCGAAACCCCATTTCCAGAACTTAATAATTTAAAAATGGTTTAAAATTTGTTAATATTATTCTAACATTGGCTTGCCTAGCAAGTAAAATGTTAGGCGCCATCACGGTCCGAAGGAGAGAATTATGGGTCGTGACAGTTGGTATCAGAGCACTAGGTTACATAGGTCTCACGAGTCACGAGCAAGCTTAGTAGAGTCTGAAGGATCGGTACCGATGGGGGTCGATTTTACTGATACATAGGCTCAGCACTTACCAGTACATGGGGTCGATTTTACTGATACTTTACTCTGCACTTCTTGTGCATATTTCGGAGTTGGTCCCAGCGGCGTACCATAGATTTGCTTGGATTTCAGCTATTCAGAGGAGACTTGAGGTATAACTGCATGGCGTCCGCAGTTCTGAAGTCCCCATCTATTTTACTTTAGTTGTGTGTTTATTTTCAGACAGCTTTATTTTATTCAGACCCTTATTTATAATTATTCTAGAAGCTCGTGTACTTGTGACACCAATTCTGGGATGGTATTTAGAAACAGTTATTTTTATGGATTATTTCACTATGCTACAAACTTTGCTTCCGCTTTTGTTTTCTTGATTATTAATAATTTTAAAAAGATTTAAAATTTATTAATATTATTCTAACGTTGGCTTGCCTAACAAGTAAAATGTTAGGCGTCATCACGGTCAGAAGGAAGAAATTTCGGGTCGTGACATATTCTCACCATAAATTTATATTTTTAAAATTTTCCCTTATTGATTTAAGTATTTTCTTTCCTTATATATATAATACACACATGTGTGTATAACTTTTCTACCATCAGATACATGAACCATTTAAACTTTTCAAATTTGTTTTTTGTCTTTTCATTTGTTTTTGCTTCTTTTGCCTGGACTAGTTCTTTTTTTTTCTTTCAAATTTCTATCATTATTTTAAAAATTAAAGATATCAAATCTCGTAACTTTTCAAATTCTTTTTTGACTCCTCTTGTTTTTGATGTTTTCTTTGACTAATCTTATTTTTTTATTTCTCTAAATTAATAGATCTCTTATAATTCTCCTAGTAACTTTAATAGATTCATCTCCTTAAATACTTTATGCAAAATGAAAAGTCCTATCTATTACTATAAATAGACTTCTTCTCCCTTTTTCTTGTGCAGATTCTTCTTCTTTGTCTCTTATTCCTCTTTAAAATAACAAACTAACAACCAATACAAGTACTTTTTTCATAAGGTATGTTTTTTTAGAGTGCTAATTTATTATACGCAATATCTAATATGTACTTTTATTTTTATTCTTTTTTAACGTGCTTGCATGTACCAATGATAACACTGATTTCTAATAATATGAGTGATTAATAGTTGAAAGTTTTTCCCTTGATGCTCTTATTTTTATTTTATCTTTCTTTTTTTCTTGACATGATAGATTTTTAGTTCTATATTTGTTTAATATTATTATTAATCACATGTTCTTAATGCATGAAAATAAAATGAGCAAGAAAATGACACTGGATAACAACTCTGAGAAGGCTAAATGTGATGCAAAAACCACAGAACTATTTTTAAATATATGTGTGGAAGAAATTTTAGCAGGAAATCGTCCTGGAACTCACTTCAGTAGATTAGGATGGTCTAATCCGGTGCAAAAGTTTAATGATAAAACCGGAAGAAACTGTGATAAAGTTAAGTTGAAAAACAAATGGGACAACCTCAAAGGTACATGGAAAGAATGGGATACTTTATTTTGAAAATAGACTGGTTTAGGATGGGACCCCCAATAAAAAAATAATTCAAGCGAATGCAGATTGGTGGGATAGGAAAATAAAGGTACTTGTAATTCTACTACTTAATTTTCACTTAACATAATTTTTTAAATTTTGCTTTGGTGTTCAAAATTCTCTTATTCTTCTTCACATTTGTAGGAGAATCCAAATGTAGAGAAATTTAGAGAGAAAGGTTTACAACATCGACAACTGATGGAGTATTGTTTTAAGGATGTTACAACCGGTGAACATGCGTGGGCACCGTCATCCGGAGTGTTACCAGATGGTATACAAGGAAACAATTGGTTTCAACCAGAACAACCATTTGAATTTGGAACTCCTATAGACAATGAAGAGTTTGTGAATATTGGTGGCATAGAAAAGAATGCGGAAAAGAGATTCAAACAAACTAATCCAGAAGAATCGAATGTGATTGAAAAAGTGCGTGATAGTGAGAGTGGTAAGAGAAGAAAAAGAAAAGCATCAACTGCTATAACTGAAAAAGAGAAAAATAAATTCAATACCAGTCTAAGAATACCATCATCAATGGAGAAAATTGCTAAAGCCATACAATCATGCTCTTCAATGAATATGGGGTCAAAAGACTCTTCACTTAGTATCAAGTGTGTAATGGATGTTGTTCGTAATTTACCCGGTATGATTGTTGGTAGCGATTTATGGTGTGAGGGAAATGTTTTTAGTACAAGAAGATCCATAGTTACAATTGCAGTGGTTGGAAAATATGTTTGAGCTTCAAAAAGAATAAATTTAATGATATTACCTCTTATTATCTGCATTTTATTTTTTCTAGTTATTGGAACTTTGAATTTGCGTTAAAATGTTGTTCTAGTTATGTTTTATGGTTATTGGAATCTATATTTGACTTTCATTCAAGTTACTAATATTTATTTTGAAATATTGGAATTTTATCTCGTTGTACTTGGGTGATTTTTGAATTTAATCTTTTTTATAATAAGTATATAGGTTGTTATTCAAGTAATTTTATTTTGTTCTTTTTCTTACAGATATATCATCACAGTAAATAATGAGGAGCATGTTGATGCAGTTCTTATAAATGAAGTAGATGACGATCATGATGTACTTGATTTTATTTAAAATTTTAAATTTTAAATTTTGTCTAAACATTTCATGCAGAACTTCTCCTCATACATGATTTTATTTCATCAAGGAGATACTTGAAGGGCATGATAAGAGATGTTATGAGATGTTTAGGATGCAAAAACATATATTTCTTGACCTTATTATTTCGTGGTTGATTATCAATATATAGTAATTTATGGAATAAACCTTAATTCATACTGAATGACGTATTTTGATTATTCAAATCATCGTGTAAATAATAAGTAATTGTTTACTTTATGTTTATATTTTAATTAAATTAAATAAAAAAATAATACTCTCTTATAATAAATATTTAAATTAATTTTCTCTTTAAAATAATTATAAAACCTTTGTACTATCCTTTTTGGTAATTTGACACTCAAAAGCACTTTTTATAAAGATTGGCCAAACATAATTTGTATATAAAATATTACAAAAAGTACTTCTTAAATGAATTGGCCAAACACAAATTATTTTTTTCAAAAGTATTTTTGAAAAAAGTACTTTTAAAAAAAATATTTTTCAAAATAATCAGTTTTTGACAGCTTGGTCAAACGGGCTGTTAGAAACTTTACTTACAATTTTCACATTCATTGCTTGCTTCAATTTTGTCATGTGATGCAAAATCAAAGAAAAATATAAAACTAAGTATAAAGAATAGGATGGATTCTGTTTGAAATCTACTCTTTTTTAATTCGGATTCGAATATTAGAAAAAGGATTAGTTCCATAAATTTGATGTGTTTTTTATCCGTGTGAAGCGCGGATAAGTTGACTAGTCTTCTATATAAAGCTTCTTCTCTTCTGGGAACGTCTCCAAACCCCACGTTACTCTCCTTCTATGTCTCTTCTTCCCTTTTTCTTTAAAGAAAACCAAAATGACTATGCTAATATTTATATGCAATCTTGAATATATCGTTTTAATCTTGCACAAATGGAATTTTGAATATAGAGTTTTATTAGAAAGTTTTGCCAATAGAAATAACCACCAGGTCAACAAAAATTCAAGGAATTGAAAAGGAATAGTTAGCTCTATGATCCACAAAAATTTAAAATTAGTTACTAAAGATTACTCAAAAGAGACTCATTGAGCCAGTCGACTTCATTTCTTCCTCCGCTTCCTGCGTCATCTCTTCTACGTTCTTGCTTCTCCATAAAACTTTCACGGAGGCTATCTCCTTATTTCGTAGCTTGCGGATTTGTCGGTCTTGGATGGCAACTGGAACTTCCTCGTACGATAAGTCCTCCGTAATCTGTACATCATCAATGGGCACCACTCGGGTAGGATCGCCAATGCATTTTTATAGCATAAATACGTAAAAAACCGGATGGACAGACTCCAATTCCGAGGGCAATTCTAAATCATAAGCTACTTGGCCCACTCTTCGAATAATCCTATAAGGCCCAATATACCGTGGGCTAAGCTTGCCTTTCTTACAAAACCTCATCACGCCCTTCATAGGTGATACCGTTAAGAACACCTAGTCATCAACCCCGAACTCTAAGTCTCGTCGCCACACGTCAGAATATGACTTCTGACGACTCTGGGTTGTCAACAGTCGCTCCTGGATAAGTTGCACCTTCTTGTCACAACCCAAAATCAACCGTCGTAATGGCGCCTATCGTGGAACCAGGTCAGCCTCAACTCAACAACCCAACACCAACAACAATAAGTTTGAGAACGTTAACGAAGCATTTAACATTTAAGAAAAACTGTTTAAAATATACAAAAATCCCAATGTGATACAATCCAGCCCAAAACCAAGGTGTCACTGAGTACATGAGCGTCTAGATCCGAAATACAGTCTACTACAATGTCTAGAGATATAAACTGAAAGTACGATAAAGATAAAGAAAGGAGAGTCAAGGCCCGCGAACGTTGTGCAGCCACCTTGATAGTCTCCAAAACTCTAGGAACCTCAATCAGTAACCGCCGCTACGACCGGTATCTCCTGGATCTGCACACGAGGTGAAGGGGGTAACGTGAGGACACCAACGCAGTAAGTAACAAGTCCAAACTTTGGACTAGAAGGTAGTGACGAACTAAACCGATACAGATAAAATAGAAATAACTGAACAAAAAAGTAGGCATGCTTTCAAATTAAATAGGCAATTCAAACAGTAAAGTGAAGCAGAACCGAACAATGTAAAGAATATAACTCTGTTATCCCTACATGCCAATTCACATACTGTATGTGATGCACCATGATGTCAGCCTCATGTGCACACACTCTCGAATGCTCAGCCACTCGGTACTGTATATATGGCCCAGGGAAGATCTATCCCAGAACATATACATCACTGACTATAAGTCACCTAGTACCGAGGAAGACCAATCCAGCCCTGTGGAGAAGATCCATCTCCAGGTATCAAGTACTTCGGACAAGATCCATATCCATGGAAGATCCATCCCTCAATAATATCAACCGCGCTCACTAGAGGTGTGTTACAAACTCCGGAGGGACTCCTACAGCTCAAGCTCTATCATAATCATCAATATAACGACTGTGGCGTGCAGCCCAATCCCATAACTGTCACTCATAACCAGGCACTCAGCCTCACTCAGTCAGCAGCCTCTCCAGTCTCACCACGGGCTCACAATGTCATGCAAACAACCCGGAACAATGATATGATGAATCAATAATTAACTGAGACCGAGGTATGATATAAAAAAATGCATGATCAAGAGTGAGTATGAAATAGTAAATGGAAACTAGTGAGATGACAGCAAGAAACCACCGCTACGGGTCTAAACAATATGGCACAAAGCCTAAACATGATATCTAGCATAATTTACAGTTCAACTACTTTATCACATGATGAAAATATGGATATCAACAAGATAGAGTCACTAAACGGTGCCATGGAATCACCCAGGTCACAATTCTCACGATGCACGCCCGCACGCCCGTCACTTGGCATGTGTGTCACCTCAATACCAATAACATAACACATAACTTGGGGTTTCGAACCCTCAGAACCAAGTTTGAAAGCGTTACTTACCCCAATTCAGCAAAGTCCTACTCCAGAATGCCCTTTCCTCTCAATTCGGCCTAAGAACGTCCCGAATCTAGCCATAAGTAATACAATACGATCAATATGGGCTAAAGGAATCAATTCCACATGAACAATACCAAAATTAGATTCAAAACCCTAAATTGGCTCAAACTCGGCCCCGGACCCACGTCTCGAAATCCGACAAAATTTACAAAAATAGAAAGCTCATTCACTCACGAGTCCATACATATAAAATTTATTCAAATCCGACATCATTTGGTCCCTCAAATTCTTGATTTAAACTCTCCAAAATCTCAAGTCCTAACCCCCTATTTTCATTCTAAAATCCTACTAATTAATGATGAACAAGCCATAGATTCACGAAATTTATACCATTATGGGTTAGAATCACTTAACTCACGTTTCTCCTTGAAAACCTTCGAAAAATTGCCTCTCCCGAGTTTCTCAAATCCATAAATTGAAAATGAAGACAAAACCACAAGCTGGGGCTTTTCTGCCCAGCAATATCGCACTTGTGGCCCCTTTTTCCGCTTCTGCGATGCCGCACTTGCGGAATTTCCATCGCAGGTGCGGAACTCACTCAAGATCCCAAGCTTTGCATATGTGCCCAACTTTTCGCACATGCGCTTGTGCACCTACGCAAAATTCTCCGCATCTACGAAGCCAGTCACGTCATTCCCTTCCGCATCTGCGCCCCAAGTCTCGCACATGCGGACTCGCAGATGCAACAACTTTCTCGCACCTACGCTTCCAACCAACCTTAACCTTTCCCGCACCTGCTACTTCTCCAAGAACTTCTGTACCCTCGCACCTGCGGGCTCGTCCTCCTCAGGTGCGGAAATTCCAGTAGCAGCAGCTTCAGCTGGATTTTCCAACTTCAACCAATCCGTTAGCCACCCGAAATGGCCCTTAGACCCTCGGGACATCAACCAACCATACCAACAAGTCATATATCAATATACAAACTTAGTCAAGCCTTCGAATCACTCAAAACAACATCAAAACACTAAATTACCCTCGGATTCAAGCCTAAGAACTTCTAAACTTTTGAATTCCACAAACAACGACGAAACCTACTGAACCACGTCCGAATGACCTCAAATTCTACACACTCGTCAAAAATGACACCACAAACCTACTCCAACTTCCAGAAATCCATTCTGACTCTGATATCAAATTTTCCACTGCCGGCCGAAATCGCCCAATTTTCAACTTTCGCCAATTCACCCCTAATTCCACTACGGACCTCCAATTCACATTCCGGACGTGCTCCTAAGTCCAAAATCACCTAACAGAGCTGACGGAACCATAAAAATTCCAATCTGAGACCGTTTACACATAAGTCAATATTCGGTTGACTTTTCCAACTTAAGCTTCTACTTAAGAGACTAAGTGTCTCAATCCACTCTGAAACCACTCCGGACTCGAACTAACTAACCCGGTATAACACAATATAGCTGAAGGACACAGAAGGAAGCATAAATGGGAGAAACAAGGCTATAACTCACAAAATGGCCGGCCGGGTCGTTACACTTCTTTACGGCCTGTTGAATCAAGTGTGGCCCATGTAACCCAAATTCTCCAACATCAAACCACCCTATAGAAGATCTG